CCTTTCAGACCTCACGGGCCACCAGGGGTCCGAGGACCACTGGTTGGCGCCCGCTGCCCTAGAGCACTGGTTTGTGAACAGGTGTATAAATCCTTTGAGAATCTGATCAAAGATCTGGGCGGCACCCCAGGGACAAGATACGTGTACCCAAGCTTTTACACCATGCCAAAACCAGTTTGGCTCAGTGGATAGAGCATCAGTCTGTGGACTGAAAGGTCCCAGGTTCGATTCCGGTCAAAGGCATGTACATTGGTTGTGAGTGCATCCCCAGTAGGGGGTGTGCATGGTCAACGTTTCTCTCTCATCGATGTTTCTAGCTCTCTATCCCTCTCGCTTCCTCTCTGTAAAAAAAAAAAAAAATCAATAAAATACATTTTTTTAAAAAAAAAAAAGATTTTACACCATTTTAAGGAGTTCGAAGATTCCTTCCCGTCCACCCACGGACATGCCAGTGGTTCACAGACACCAGCATCAGAATCTGTGTCCTAGAGGATGGAGATTCCCTATTGCTGGAACAGCCCAGGAGTCACTGAGCCTAGAAATTGAATTCTCATCCCAAGACAGGATGGTCATTTCAGGTCATGTCTGCGCTCCTCCAGGGGAGCCACGGAAGAGCTTATCCAAATAGGAACCAGCGGGGAGGAGAGAAATTAAAATGCAGCAATCACGGAGTCGGGGTATTTAATCTCTTTTAAGGCTTATGATGGGCGCCTGCTGGTTCCCCCCCACCTACTGACACCTACTGACAGGGTATTTGCAGCCCCACACGGGGACTGACACCTGACACCTACTGACAGGGTATTTGCAGCCCCACACGGGGACTCAGGGCCCTGTGACAGGAGGAGCGCCGAGGAGGTCCGTGATAGTCTTGAAACCGTAAAGAGCAATAAGAAGCCACTGGAGGCGGAGTCCCGCTGTGCGACGTGCCGGTGGCTGGTGGCCATACGCTTTTTGTTTACAGAATCCGCTGTTCTCTTTATGGCAGGTTTGGTGGGGCTCTTTTTTCCTCGGTGACGGAGATTAGCCGCATAAATCCATTTATGGCAGCGTGCAGTCCCCCATCGACACTTCCGCTTGTTGCTGTGGGTGATGCTGTGTCGATTTCAGGTTCGCTCGACGCTCGGCTCACCCAGGCCGGTAGCTCCTCCAACCAGACAATGGACTCCAAGTAGCCAACCCTTTTTCTTTTTCTTTTTTAAGGCTCCTTCATTGGGGGGAGAGGGGGGTTCAGGGAGGTGAGGTAGAGCTGATGTTGAAGGGAACAGATGTTCAATCAAGCCTAGAGATACTTAGGATGAGAACAAACCATTGTACTGTTTTCCAAGGAAAGTCTTCTTAAAAGACTGTGGCAAAAGCAAGCACGGATGTGAAGGGTTTTTGAAATAGCTTTTTATAGTCTTATCTAAAGCATCTTCTGTGAACGGTTTTGTATAATTAACATCTTAGCGCTGCCATGCGCAGTGTACCAGTATACAGAGTTACAAGCATGGGGTGCCTTTGTAATTCTGATCCCCTGACATTGTCACTTGTAGGTGGATATCCCCGTATTGAGTATTTGAGGTCTTCCAGGAAGGTCTCCATGTTTTTCTTGTCTTTCCAAACATCTGGGCAAAGAAGTCAAACTTTACTTAAAACGTTGATCCCAAGAATTCGGGCCCCTCTGCCATCCCAAAAAAACGAATCCAAGACTCAGCGATTTAATAAAAATGCAGTAAATTCACACCTCTAGACAAGAGCAGAGTTCATTCGGAGCTGGGGTCTGCCTAGTTGAGCCAGTTCTCTCTCCGTTTTAATAGTTTAATAAAAATTAGCATAATTAACGAACATCTGTATGATCCAGAGTGGTGCAATTTGGCACTTGGAAACGAGGGCTTAAACATGATTGCTGTGAGTTTAATGTTGTTTTAATTCTTTTTGGCACTGTGCAGTGAAATAAACGTTTGGTGGTGATAGTTCTCGGCCGGATCTCATTTGCATTTCTCTCCCTTTGATTATGAGCAATTGTGGACTCCCCAGCAATTCATCAAAGTAGAAATTATTTTAAAATACCTCGTGGTGTTTCGGCTGGGCTGGAGCAAAGCATGGGGCTGGGGGGCAGTGAGAGAAATGCTCCATTCATGCTTCAAACGTCTCAGCCCCGCAGCCCTTCCTGGGTATCCAGCCAAGGGATGAAATCTGGGAAAGACAGTCAGATCTCAAGGCCTGTGGGTGCTTTGATTAAGCTCCGAGGCTCCCACAGCAGGATACATATGGTCTCTGAGACTGTGCCCTTCTCCGCACACTTCTGCCTGCTTCTCTGCGCTGCAGGGCAGAGAGCTGCTTTCACTCATTTCTGTTCTCACCATTGTGGTGAGGCTGCCACATCTGTGGTCGGCAGGGTCGGTGTTCCCCTCCAGCAAGAGCACAGTCCTGCCGTGCCTCATCTGCTTCCCGATTGCCCCCTCTTCGCGCTGACGTGCACCTTCCCAAGGCCTGGTCCTCCTCCTGGCATTAGGCTCAAAGGGGGGTGTCAGTCAGGAGTCGTGAATAGCCCCTAGGGAGAGAAAGTCCTCTCGGAGCCCTCGGGTGATGAAGATGACAGCATCTGGTAGGTAGAAGGCCACTCTTCACACATCATGTGTGACATCTGCCCTCCCCACTTGTGAGCTAGCAGAAGAACTAAAGTAGAGTTTTGATGGGTTCCAATGAGAGGAGACGACAGAGGATGTGTTTCCCCTTTGCAACAAGGCCCTCTGGACATGTCCATTGCAGTGACAGGCTAATACAAGGTGATACCACAAGGAAACTTATGGTAGAAACCGCCCCTAAGTGTTGGGAGGTGGACAGGAACATAACTTATATCGACAGGAGCTTTAAAATGTACATGCGCTTGACCGGAATCGAACCTGGGGCCTTTCAGCCCTAGCCAGTTTGGCTCGGTGGATAGAGCATCGGCCTACGGACTGAAGGGTCCCAAGTTTGATTCTGATCAAGGGCACATGCCTGGATTGCAGGCTCGGTCCCCAGTGGGAGGCAGCCAATCAATGACTCTCTGTCATCATTGATGTTTCTATCTCTCTCTCCCTCTTCCTTCATCTCTGAAATCAATAAAAATATATTTTTAAAAAATGTTCTAACAGCACAGGCTAAGGAATTCTGGGTAATATCCCTTAAGGCAGTGCAGACTGTAGAGAAGTTGGCCTTGGGGAGGAAGGGAATAAGGTCTGGTGTGGAAAGGTGGTAGACATATTCATTTGCTTCAGACTGACTTTTAAAGATAATTCTCTGTTCCTTTTAGGGTCAACTCAGTGGTCTCACTTCTTATGCCATTTGAGTCTGTCTTCATGGTACTTAGAGGGCCGTCTGGGAAAAATGTCTCCAAAGGCAATTGCTCTGTTCCTGCCACAACCAGTTCCATCACCAGGAGAATACTTGGTAGTTAGCTGTGACTAAATCTGCTCAACTGAGAGTACAAATCCCCACTGCTCCTTTCAGTGCCTCATAACCTCATTTAACAAGGATTTCTTTGGGCCTATTTTTTTTTAATATATTTTATTGATTTTTCTTACAGAGAGGAAGGGAGAGAGATAAAGAGCTAGAAACGTCAATGAGAGAGAAACATCGACCAGCTGCCTCTTGCACACCCCCTACTGGGGATGTGCCTGCAACCAAGGTACATGCCCTTGACCGGAATCAAACCTGGGACCTTTCAGTCCGCAGACCAACGCTCTACCACTGAGCCAAACCAGTTTCAGCTGGGCCCATTCTGGTTAGGAATCATTTACACACTTATTAGTAGCTAAACCACAGAGGTATATAAGATGGCTCAAGGAAAGTGCATCATGTCAGAAGGCAGGACAGAACCTTGGAAAACAACCACGTGAACTTCAACCCAGGCATGTGCTCTGACCCGGGGACCTCTTGGTTCCTGGGTTGATGCTCAACCACTTAGCCTGCCTGTAATTATTAATGTACCTGTCAACCTCCCACCTCTAATGTTGGGAGCACCTACTACATATCAGTGACTTGGAATTGCTTTCACTTCTGTGGCGTCACTTATATTCCCACCACATAGGGGAGGGGTGATGGTCTCCCTACTCTAACAGAAGAGGAAGTTAAAGCTAGGGGAACTTAAGGTCACATGGCTACTCAATGACCACGTGGGGATTAGATCCCAGTCTGTCTGACTCCAAAGCCCATTACTCTCTGCTGTAAGCTCCCAGGGAGCAAGCAGTGCTCTGATTCATCATTATACATCTCATGGGAACGCAGACAGCACTTTGCACATAGAAGATGCTTGGTAAATATTGATTTGAACTATGACCTGACTCCCTGAGTATTTTTAGTGTTCTGGCATTTTAGGATGTGCTCAAATTTCTCTGAAGAAGCCATTTAACTACGGTAAAAAGAAAGAGGAAGGAAGGAAGGAAGGAAGGAAGGAAGGAAGGAAGGAAGGAAGGAAGGAAGGAAGGAAGGAAGGAAGGAAGGAAGGAAGGAAAGAAAGGAAGGAAATAAGGAAGGAAGGAAATAAGGAAGGAAGAGGGAAGGAAGGAGAGAAGAAGAGAGGAAGGAAGGAAGGAAGGAAGGAAGAAAGGAAGGAAGGAAGGAAGGAAGGAAGGAAGGAAGGAAGGAAGGAAGCGGGAGGGAAGGAAAGAGAAGAGAGGAAAGAAGGAAGGAAGGAAGGAAGGAAGGAAGGAAGGAAGGAAGGAAGGAAGGAAGGGAGGGAAGAAGGAAGGGGGAGGGAAGGAAGGAGAGAAGAAGGGAGGGAGGGAGGGAGAGAAGGAGGAAGGGAAGTGTTCTTTAAGTTGAGCAAGGCATCAAATGTGCAAAGTTTACAATGTAGACAGGAAGATGGCAAAATGAAAACAGTTTGCTTTCCTCCTCTAGATGACTTTTTAAACATTTAATAATCCCATCAAGGATGTCAACCACCCCCACAGAATCTCCCATGTAACCACCATGAGAGATTACCAGAAGCATGGCCAAATTTCAATTGACACCATTCTCTTTTCATTTTGCAGGAGTATAACATGTATGGCTGGTGGGTAGGAGAGCTCAACAGCCTCATTGGGATTGTCCCAAAGGAGTACCTCACCATGGCCTTTGAAGTGGAAGACAGATGAAGCCCAGGTACCCACACTGTGGCCGATGAAGATGTTGGCCGTGCCTTTGTTTCTCTGTGAAGGATGGGAGTTGGCAGGGAAGTAGTTTTTCTTCATTTCCAAAGGTGGTGCTAATAACCCTCCATGGAAAGGTGATGATTCTGGAGTTGTTTTTCCCAAATCATCAGGGGATTGTGTCAGTTACGATTAAGTTCAACTACTTGGGACAGAAAACTCAAAATAACTGGTTTAATTAAATAGAAGTTTATTTTTCTCTTCTGTAAAAACCCAGACGTAAATAATACAAGGTATCTGAGTCCCAGGTACCTTACTTTTTTGTTGTGGTGGTTGTTATTTTGTTTTGGTCGTGTGGCCAACATTCCTAAGGTTATCTTGTGTGCCCTCTATCACCTCCAACTATCATGCCTATATCCTACCCAGCAGGAAACATAAGAGGGCACACCTTCTCCTTTTAAGGACACTTCACTGATGCTGCACATACCTCTTCTGCTTACCTTCCTTTGGCCAGAACTTAGACATGCAGACAGAAAGACAAAGCTGCAAAGAAAGCTTTATTGTACCTAGCTTAAAAGCAGAAGATGGGTTCATTAATAAAATTAAAAGGGGAGAATGGATATTGAGGACAACTAGGAATCTGTGCCATAAGCATGGGTCTGTATCCCAGCTTGCAAATCCAGGCATGGCACCACTTCCCCCAAATGCCCATGTGTTACAATACGATTGGCCAAAATTAGGAGCCCAGTATGAGGAGTCTTGGGGGACATAAATTAACTTTGGGGTAATAAAGAATATGGCTTGCATTTTATGAGCAAGAACCACATCGTATTTTAAAACAGTTGGGTAAGTGCTTGCTCTGGATAAGGTAATGTTGCAATTGCTTTGGCGGGGAATGGGTTTTGTTTAGAATTAGGATGGCGATAAAGGGTACCCAAAGCTAGCACGATATCACTAGTTCCATCTTCCGGCCTGAAATGGGAGCCAATTTTATTGCTGGGGGTGAGGGATGACATGTGTGACAGTAATACAAACTGTCCTTGGAATCTTCCAGACCCATTCTAGTATACAGTGGATTCTTTTAGGAAAACACATAAGGATAGATCTTGCTTTCAGATGCCCTTATTCAGCCTAAAGCACCACCTCAGACCTGTTGCACAGGTTTGACTTTATGGTTTTCCCAATGAGGGCTCCATTTCCTGGCCATGAATGTAGAAGGGTTGGAATTTTTCTCTCAAATCTACACAGATTCACAGGTTTGACTGACTGATTTAATGACAAAGTTGTTTATCTTTGGCCCAACAATTCCACATCTAGGAGTTTATCCTACAGCATGCAAAATGTTAGTCACACAAGGTTATTTGTTGGTAATAACAAACCATTGGAAATAACCTAAATGTTCAATAGAGAACTAGCCAAATAACTGTAGTACATTCATAGAATTGAATACTATACAACAGTAAAAAAGAAAAAAGAAGATCTCCACATTGGTATAAAATACATTGTAAGATATGTTTGTAAATTAAAGAGAAAAAAAAAAGTAGCAAAGAAAGGTAGGCCTAACTTACTCATGTAAAAAGGAAGTTTCCAATTGCTTATAAATGTACTAGAGGCTCGGTGCACAAAATTCGTGCACAATTAGGGTCCCTAGGCCTGACTGGTGATCAGGGCTGATCTATGGGGCGACCAGCAGGGTGATTGGGGCCTCTCCTGCTCACACCTGCCTTGGCCTGGTACCACCCACTTGCCAGCCCCAACCCATACTGTTGTGGGGACCTGCAGGGTGGGGGCAGCTCCAGCATTGAGCACCTGCCCCCTGGTGGTCAGTACGTGTCATAGTGACCAGTCTTTCCGCTGGTTATTCCGCCATTTGGTCTATTTGCATATTAGAGTTTTATATAGATAGATGAGATGCTCTGGAAGGAAAAAGAAAATGCTAACGCTGGTTGCCTCCAAGGACAGAGAAGCTGCATGACTGTGAGACAGGGAGACACTTTTTACTCTGTGCCCTTTGATACGTCCTATATTTTAAACCAGAATGCAAATGTATGTGTTTTTCCTCCTGTAGGACACATATCCTTCTCTCTCGCCTGCCTTTATAAAGAAACTGATCATCAGGAGCTCCCACTTCCCACCTCTGCTACCCACCAACACCACGGACTCCTCTCTGTACCCACGTCTCTGACACCTGTTAGTAACTGTAAGCCATCAATAAACAGCACAGGAGGGAAGAGGCAGATTCAGCAGACCTATAACCACACCTGCCTTGTCACAGCTCATTCCATCTCTAACCATGCCCGCCCCGCCACTTCTGCCCTTTCCACAGGCTTATCACCGAGAAGGTACGAGAGAAGGAACCCTCCTGTCAAAGGTTCTTCCTTTGGAGAAGGGAGTCTCTGGTTGTTCTGTCTCGTTTGAAAAGCACAAATAAATGTCTTACTTGGTTCCTGGCCATGTGTGATAGTGCTGAGTTTCTTTTGTAATGGCATCAAAATGCTGGTTCCGGGCATTCTCGACAACTCCAGACCAAGTAGAAAGGAAACAAAAGCCCAGAGAGAGAAGGAGACTTACAGTTGTCTTTTGGGGTAGGAGCATCTCTGGAGCCTAGGCCTGCCTGCGTGGCCTCTCAGACGTCCTTTGGTTCCCTCCTTGGTTATTTTTTTGTGCTGACTCTTTCTGAAATGAGACGGGGCTAGAAGAAAGTCCTTGAAGTCAGCACATTGGAGAGTTCCCTTTCCCCCTCAGTTAACTACTCAACGGAGTCCTGTATGGGAGCCAGTCCTAGGTAGCGGCCAAGCAAGAACTTTGAAGAGGGCTGGTGTATACACAGTCCTGTTCCTTTTCCTGTTGCCTGAACCTAGCACTCGGGTTTATCTGTACCTTGAAGAGGCAACAAGACAGATTTATTAAGAACATAAACTCTGGCTCTAACGGGTTTGGCTCCATGGATAGAGCATCGGCCTGAGGACTGAAGGGTCCCAAGTTCGATTCCATTCAGGGGCATGTGCCTTGGTTGCGGGCACATCCCCGGTGGGGGGCGTGCAGGAGGCAGCTGATTGATGTTTCTAACCTATATCCTTCTCCCCTCCTCTCTGTAAAAAAAAAAAAAAAAAAAAATCAGTAAAATATATTTTTAAAAAAAGAACATAAATTCTGGATCCGGACAGCCTGGGAATAAACCCCAGTTCCCCATTTGCTACATATGTCCCCAGAGCAAGTTACGTGACCTTTTATGCTTCAATTTCCTCACCTGAGAAGAGGTACACTCCACCTCAGCAGGTCATTAGGACAATTAAAAGAAAAAACACATGTAAGTAAAACAATGTAAGTAAAAGAATGATGGGCACATAGTAACTCCTCAATAAGGATTAGCTGTTAGGATTGCCTGACTATCTGCACAAGAAATTTTTGGAAAATGGGCAACTGAGCAGCCAAATAAATTTTCTCTTGTGTAAATTACAGCATAGGGAATATAGTCAGTACCATCATAATAGCTATATACGGGGCAGGTGGATACTTAAAATATTGGGCGGGGCCACTCTGTAAAGCACATGCTTGTCTAACCACTCTGCTGAACATCTGAAGCTAATCCAGAATAATATTGAATGTCAATTGTAACTGAAAAATAAAAAGGGAAAAAATAAATTTTTTCTCTTAAACTGCCTATTCAGAGCAGTGCTGAATTGGCAGCAGCCTTCCTCACCTCTATAACAACTATATCATAGCCCTGCGGAAGCATTCATTTCACACCTTCAAAAGAGAGAAACTGGGGAGCAACCAGGAATGTTGTCAGTGGATTCCATGTTTCTCAAAAGATCCTGTGCCAGCTCTTCATTTCCAGATTTTTTGACCCAGGAGTAAAAAAAAAAAAAAAAAAAAAAAAAAAAAAAAAAAAAAAAAAAAAAAAAAAATGAAGCTTTTTTGTGTATGTGTGGTAAAAAGAGGTAAGCAAAGGGGAGGACTTAGGTTTGGGAGAAAAATAGAAAAGTACCCTAGGAACTGTCCATAACGTCTCCTCCATTTTACACAGCGTGCTAAAGGAGAAGGGACCACTAGGTGGCAGCATATGAGCAGATGAACCAAAGAGAACCAATGGCCTCCAGCTTGGGGAACCTTTGCACCAATCCCAACCTACAGGTAAGGACAATAGGCATTGTTCTAACATGTTTAACCGAGTGAGCAAACAGGAACCCCTCTATGTCCCTGATTGTTCCCTCCCTGGAGAACCCCTAAGGACCCAAGTCTGGAAGGCTGGGGGGCTGGGGGGCAGGGAGGCTGAGGAGAGAATATCATTGTGGCACTGCTCTGACAGAGCAGGTATCTGGGGCAAGGGCAGGAGGAGGATGGAAAAGGGGCAAGGTCAAGGTAACTTCACTCTCTGCACAGTTCAAGGCTCTCTCAATAGCATAGTCATTGGCTTCCAGCATTTAAAACAAAATCCCCTTAGTGCAATAGCCCCTTCTATATCTGTAGACCTGAGGAAACAATGGTTGGCCAAACTCCAAAGGCCTGTAGGCACCCTGTAAACTGCAAGGTAGACACCACGCTTAGACCACTGGCCCTTCCAGCTGTGCGCCTCAAGTGGGGAAAGAAATTAGATTGGCCCTGGAGGATGTTAACAAACGGGCTGATGGGAAACCTGGTCCGTAGACATCTGGCTGTCTCTGCCATTGTTACACACAGGAAACGATGGTGCACGTTCGGTGTGTTGATGAGACTATCCATGGGGTTGAAGGGCATTCTCTGTTAGGGGAAAGTTCTAAAGGACACTTTTGGGAAACAACAGATTTCCACAGTTCTCCTGGAGATCATCCTCACCTCGAAAAACTGCTCTCCACTCAGTATATCACCCAATTTTAGCCAATAGGCTCGGATTACCACTTCTCTGACTCCACTAACCAAATCCCCACCTTACTGCCTGTGACTGACTGGATAATTGGGGGGGGGGGGGGATTAGAGTACTTAACTAACCACATTAGAACAGGTTCTTTTTTCTTTCTTTTTTT